AGGGAGCCCGATGCGGGACTCGATCCAGGCACTCCAGGATCATGACCTGAGCCGAAGGCAGTCGCTTAACCAACTGAGCCACCCAGGCGCCCCTGGTGCTTTATATTCTTAAATGATGGCCCATTGCCTTCCTAAAACATTCCTGGGGTAAGCATCCTGAATCCAAAGATGTTAAATGGGTTACTGAAAGTCATCTCCGAATTAGAGATATAGGAGTTCTCATCCTGAGATATTTAATGATAGACAAGACTTTCTCCTCAACACTGTTTCACCCGTTCTATTTGTATACTCATTTTATGAATGAGGAAACTGAAGCTTAGCTTAAGTAAAATGGCCAGTGTCACCGAGCGGGTAAGCAGTAGAGGCAAAATTCCAATGCCAAACTATTCCAAAAGCCTCATCCATTTAATCAGATCTGTACTGTAGAACAGAAAACATCAGGGCCGATCTGATTGACTTCTTAAGGCATGACGTCTACGTTTTGTTTTACATTTGAAAAATAATGAATACAATAAGCTTTATTTGCTTCCAGTTAAAAATAAGGAACATTAAAAATAGAGCAAGTAAAAAATAATAAGGTTGTGTGTTATGAAGAACTAAGGATAGAGACAGGAACAATGATATTGAGACAAGGAAAAATACAAGGAAAAATAAATAAATGATAAGACAAACAGGACAGGACCTAGATATATATACTGAGAGATCCTACAGAAAAATGAAGAGCAGACAGGCACATCTGGAGAGTTTCCAACCATATATTGAAATGGGACTTAATGCAAGAAATAGATTAAATTCCTTATCAAAATCTAAGCTCCCAGCAGGTGGAACTTCTTTTGATTCTTTAAGCAGACCCAAATCTCCCTTGCTTCTGTGCCTTCATGTTTGCTCTTCTGTTAGCTTCACAAAGGTGTTCTCGCTCCTCTCCAGGCTTATTCCCACACATCCTTTTGGTCTTGGCTTTTGTACTGCTTGCTCTGCAAAGCATTCCTGAACTTCCCACATCTGAGTTAGCAGTCTCTGGGCAGAATTCCCACTACCTTATGTGAGTAACTGCTTTGTACCTAAGGTAAATCCAATACTTTATAGAGATTGTTTCTTTCTTTTGATACAGCAACTGTATGGAGCTGTTTTCATTGAAGGGCATTTTCCTTTGGCTGGAAAAATTATTAAAAATTTGCTTTTTTGTTTTTTCATTACAGACTAATGAGGCAACAGGACCCCCCTTTTCCAACATCTAACAAGATGCTGACAGTGATAGGAGCTTAAGAAATTTATGTGTTAAAAGGATAAGGAAATGAATGGACTTCACACCCTGTTGCCATAGCCAACCCTCCCCAATTTCTCATGCCTTCTTTCTAATGAGTGGTAAGGAGAACCAAAAATCAAGTTATTCTGTTAGTCCACTTAAACCTAATAAATTGTATTTTAAAGGAGGATTCCTGAGAGCACATATTGACTCAGTTCAGTTACAAGGGAATTATTGTCTGTTGAGGGAAAGAAGTTTGAATTGACTTTCATCTAACTTGGATTTACAGTCACCAGATTATATTCATTCATTCAAACATATATTGAGTTCCTAGTATGTGTCAAGCTCTGTTCTAGATGTTAGGGATATGGTGATGAACAAACATCCAAGAACCTACCATTCTAGTAGAGGAAGGCAGACAATCTAGGAGGAAATAAGATAATTTAGATAGTGATAAATGCTACAGAAAAATAAAACACATAGTAGGCTTTGGTAGGATTTGGAGAGGAAGAGCTCTGGTTAGGGAAGTGATTTCCATGGACAACCTGGGAGCAAGAATTCGTTCTCATTGCTAGGGCAATAAGGGGTTAGCATAGCCCATTCTAGGAGAGGTATATCTCTAATTATACATACATAATTGACAATAGGATTTAAAAGATTTATTATTTGGTTAGCTTGGTTCATTTTAATAATTTCCAAGAGCTTGAATA